GAAGACTAGCACTCTACACATCAGTGTGTGTAGCAGTGTTTTGTACAAGACTGTGTAAGATGATGGGGTGGTGGACTTGGACCCTTGAAGTTCTGACACTGTAACATGTAAGGACAGACTAACAGTGAGAAAGTTATCTGTGACATCTGTGATAATATTCTGTTTTATATAATTATGGGCAAACACGACCCCTCAGACTGAACTTACCAAGTGGCAGGGCAGGGTTTCTGAACGCATTACCCAGAGCGTAACAGGCATTCCATCGGACTTTCATCGTGGGCTCTGATTGGATTGTTTTTACAAGAGCACGAACTGCGTCTTCTACTGGGCGTTGAAATGCGGGCCGAGTCAGCTGATTCCGACGCAGGAAATTGAATAAATTGCCAAGGACTCGCACTGCATTTGACTTCACCTAGAGTAGTTAAGATAGGAAGGCGTTTTAGAAATTAGGCAAAATTAAAAATAAATAATTCCAGTTGATTTAAACATAAAAAATAGGCATGGTTACACAGTATCCTGCTGGTGTTGATGCTCTCACCTTGTCTTTGTCAGCAGCTGCTCGAGTAGCTACCTGCAACATCTTGAGCAGTAGCATGTCTGACAACTCATCATGGAAGCTCATTCCTAAATTCTCCCTGACAGACATAAAGAAAAAAAAAACTATTGTCACCATCAGATCTCCTTCACGGTTATACACTTTATTTCACTTTATTTCCATCTTGATAATTCTGTCGTTTTGATACATCACAAATAAAAACAGTTTGGTTTTGTGTAAACAAAATATCTTACATGTTAATAATAAGTACATCTGCCAGGTTTCCTAAAGACCAGGCAGCCTTGGCCCGGACGTTTGTGCTGCCGTCATTGAAGGCGGCGAGGATCGCGTTTGCCGTGTCTGCCACAAACATCACATCCTGTAGAAAGATGTGACAGTCTGTGTCAGTCCTGTTTTATAGTCAGTCTTTTGTCAGAGTAGTGACCCTGATCATATTGTCCTCACCTCCCTCAGACAGGGGAAGAGTATGTAGATTCCCAGAGCTCTCACAGATGCAGTCTTCACCAGATAATTTTCACTGTAAGTCAGACCCAGCAGCACTGTGACACACATCAGCTGTGTCTTGTCCTTAAAAAAAAATCATACTTACAATTTTCTGAAAGCTCAACAATAGAAGGGCTGAAACCGACAGAATTTGATCACACTGAGACTCACAGGCAGCTGAGCGAAGGCCTGCGGCAGGATGGAGGAGAGAGTGTCACAGACACTGGCCTGGAGCTTGGGATGCTGGTCACTCTGCAGCACTTTGTTTAAGGGACCACTCAATACTTCTGACCACAACTGTACTACCTGCAAAACAAAGGATCAGTACCTGCCTCATTTACTACATGAACTTCAGTGAACCATATGTTGAACCACAAAGGTATTCAGAAGTGAGTCCCACATGGCTCATCCTCTCAGGGCACATTTGTCAAAGGGAAGTATTGTTAAAAAAAAGTGCAGAAACAAACACTTTTTTCAGTCAAGTGATGGACAAAATTGAGATGGGAATATTAAAGTGTTTCAGGGTCTAAGTATAGGCAGTGTGAGACGGTTTGTACAAACCTGGTTCAATGGGACCCTTAAACTGTCGGGGGTGTTGTTCTCTGCCTTGTACTGCTGGATAACTCCTGTTCCAAACACCCCGAGGAGCTTGAAGAGAGAGAGGCAACACCAAGCAGTGTCCAGGTAACTGAAGTCTTTTTATGCATCAAACATATATTTATGCGTTTAAACATTTAAACTCAAACATTTGTGCAAAAAATGATTTAGGAATAACGTCTCACCATTGCTCCATGTAGCTGCATAGCAGGGTCTGACTCCTCCAGGCAGCATATGCTCAGCTGCTTGATCTCAGAGAGACACTTCTGAGTAAGAGAAAAGTAGCCACGAACAAGGCTGCACAAGACCTGAACAACACAGATAGTGGACAACCAGATGTTTGGAAGCTACAATCAAATGTTGTTGTGTTTCATTTCCGGGCCCTTCCTCTCACCTGTAGAGCCTCTAGTCGAACAGGAGGGGGCTCCAGTGCCGCTCCTCCTCCGGCTCTTCCTCCTTCGCTGTCTGACTGTTCCTCTCTGGGCTGAGTCACCAGTGAGACGCAGACCTGAAGCAGCCACAGTGAAGAGGCGTCCTTCTCTCCTGGTGTTCGAAGGACCTGGGGAGAGTGTGTGTGTGAGCCGCGCTGTGAGGTCACAGGTGTGCGAGACAGGTCTTCTCCAGGTCTTTGTCTCCAGCTGAGGGCAGAGTCCTGCGGCGTGAAGGAGCCAGTGCTGCCGCTGCTTCCATTGGCCATGTCCGGCTGTTGGAGAAGGAGCAGGACCTCAGGGAGTGGAGCCTGAGTCGACACCATAGCACCATACAGCGTCAGGACACACACACGGACGTTCACGTCTATAAGACAGAAGAATAGTTTGTCTAAAAACCATAATCAGTGAGCACTCTGTAGTTTGACAACACAAAAAATTAACAAACCTCGGTGGCGAACAAAAGGACGGATCTGCTTGCAGAGTGAGCTGAGCAAACCAGGCCTCAGGCGGTGGTACGGCGCGTTAGCAACTAGAAAGGCCAGGGACTGACGAAAAAAAGAAATTACACAGATCTGAACTTAATCTAACTCCATTAACATTTGCTGTGATTGCTTTCCAATAACCGGTCTGTAGTGTAGAGTAAAGTGAAAAGTAGCTCCAAATATATCATGAAATATTCTTCTCACCTTTATGACCTGTACGAGTGTCTGTGGTGCAGTTTCTGCCAGCAGGGCCAGACTGAGAGCACGGTGCAGTTCTCTGATACTCGTGGCCAGGAGGAAGGAGAAAGGAGTGTAAGATGTGCGAGGAGACGCAGTATCTTCAGCTGCGGCCAGGAACTGACGAGAGCCGTCCAGGATGGCTGACAGAACCTGGAGCGCGCACGCACGAACCTGAGACACAAAGCCATGGGAGAGAAAAGACAGATGAGGACAGGGTCATGTGTACTAGATGGTAAGGAGAGCTATGGGACACATGCTGTTCACCTTGGGTGAGGTGTCTTTGAGTACAACTGTGAGCAGAGTGAGAGGCGGTGGCCCCCCCACAGGAGAGTCAGGGATGAAGGAAGACCAGTATCCATACAGGGTTCGCTTTTCTACACATTTAACCACACCGAGCAAAGAGTACAGAGCTCCCTCACGTACAAGACTTAGGAAATATCTGACGGAAAAAGAGAACAATGTTTTGTTACAGCCTTTAAAATAAACTTGGAAAATATTCCTAAAGAAGGAGAAAACAGGAAACAAGAACCATTTCTCTGTACCTCAGTTTGCTCTGAGCGTTTCCCTCCTGGTCGGAAAACTCAGAATCTGAATTGTTGCGTTTCCAGGATGGATAGAGAGACGGCTCAGACGGTTTAGTCAAAGGATTGTCCTCCTCTCTGCTGCCCTTTTTGGGGGTAAACATGAAGTCTCTATCATCTTCGTCTCCATCATCTCGTCTGCTCTGCTCAGAGCTGGTCTTCTTTCCTTTCCCTCTGGGCTTCTTCTTCTTATTCTTGTGAGAATAAATAAAGAAATAATTTAATTAAGTGGTCTTGTTTATACACCAAACAAAATAAACTAAAAACATCATGTTTCCTACCCCAGAGGGTTTGCCTTGTACTACACCATCCTTTGAACTTTCAGAGGGTTTTGGTGTGTCAGCGGTTTTTATTGCAGAGGGTGCTTCGTACTGAGGTAGAGGTGCTGGGTAAAGCACCGCCGGCCACTCCACACTCACACCTGGAGTGCCTTGAAACATGAGTCTCTGTGGGGAAAGATTTGAACCAATGAGTTGTCAATAATTATTTCTGGACTAGTCAACATGGATGGAATACTATAAGGCTCTACAACAAATCATTTAGATTTCACTAAAGGACTCAACATGATCACAGAAAAGGAAAATATATATATGTCAAATAAATAAGGGGAAGAAATATGAATTAATCTGATGACATATTATAGTTCTGCACCTTGAGTGTGGCCAGTACAGATCCAAGCTCCTCCCCTCCGCCATATTTCCACTTCCCACCTGAGAGACAGTACTGAAGGCCTTTCTGCGCTGCCTGGAGCACCTGCACAGAACAAATGTCACAGAAGTTTGTTTCAGCTACAGGTATTTGTGGCCAGTTCTGTTTTGTTGCAGCATTTTACACACTATGCAGTAGAAAAGCTCGTCAGTGCTGGGAGGTTTGGGTGACTGTAGTGTTTTCAGGAAGACTCGGAAACATATGGATCTGTACTGATCATCCAAAGGAGGCTGACCAGGAACCCTGGAGATAAACAAATAGTGTTTTTTAAGAAAATCTGTTTAGTACAAATGATGTGGTCATGAAAGGAAAACAGACACAAGATGTCTGTAAGTATTGCCAATTTAAGCCTCAAATGTAGATAATTGCAAACTGTAAACCAGCCAAATGAAAAACAACATTTTGACTCAATTGTTAAAAATTCTACAATATATTAGATGTGGTTAATGAGAAAAAAATATCTAAATTGTTATACACTAAGAATAATAAGTTACAGTCAATTATTATTTTACCTTTGCCAAATATCATTGTGGATTTTCATTCCACTAGGCGTTGAGTTTATACTTGTTGAAGCATAACCGAGTTTAAGTATACTGAATTAATTAATTCCAAAATAATGTATATTGACATTAAAGCCTACCTGAGACAAATGTTGGCCAGGCAGGTCAGAGTAACACGGCGTAATTCGATACTTGGCTGAGATGGGGCGCTGTAGAGCATGAGAGCTCCATCTTCGGCCAGTAACTCACCTAAATGCTATAAATGACCACAATGGCAATGTAATCATTACACAGTTGTTTCAAGTTGTTGTTAAATTTTCATAGATCACTTGTAAAAGCACTGACCTGATGGCACAGTGGTCCGTTCCCATAAACTACTGTGGAGAGGGCGAGGAGGACATCAGCGTTTGTCCATGTGCTGCACGTTTTCAATGCACCTGTGGTGTATTTCAGCAACACGTCCAACGTCGGCTCGTCCATTATTACCTGCAGAAAGAATCACCGTGAGCCACGGAGTTAGATGAATTTGTTTGTTACGAGTGAATGGATGTGGTGACAGTGACCGATTGTTTGTAAAAGTCAGTTACCTTCAGCTGGTTGAGCAGGTGATGCATTAGCTGACAGAGTTTGATGACTAAGTGTTCTTGAGTCAGGGGCACCAGTCTGCTGGCATGTTTCAGGAAAGAGCACACATCCTGAAATGGAAAATTCATTATTTAAGTGGTTTGCTGCAAGAGGATTAGCAACTACTACATGTACTTTAGAGTAAATGGAACATGTGATTCCACTGCCTTGAGATATTTAAATGTCCAAAGTAAAATATGATTTCACATATGATCCTTGTCTGCCAGTGACACACAAAATGTAACGTAGTGTGACAACAGAGGGGTATGAGATGCTCCTATTTCACTGCCCTGGTAGTTAAATTGTAGTGAAAATACATATTAAGTTTGCCTTGTAACAACCCAAGCACATCCAATCCACGAGGTATATCAACTGAAATGAAGGGACTTAAAGGCATCATTACACATTCTTCTTCTCAGTAGACATGTACTCTAATTTCTTCAGTCTTCTAACTGTCAGTTACCTCTGTTTGTATGTTTATATTTGGGTAGAAGGTTTTGTTGTAGTTTTCAGACAGAAGCTCGTCAAACAGCAAGTTCAGCTCCTCTCTGTGTTGGCAGGCAGGGTCTGCTCTCAGGGCCCTTATCCGGGAGGCGCAGCGGAAAAACTGTTTCTCGGCGTCCGACTGAGAGCCATGCTGCCAACCGTCCGTTCCAGGCGAGGCAGTGTTGGCTGAAACTGCCGGTGGAGGCGCGCAGACACCACTATAACCGACAGCCGGCACAGTTGATACATCCTGAGCTGCCATGTTTCTTCTTAGCCCCGGAAGTGTTTCTCGTGTACTGTCAGTTTGACTGACCAAATAACAGGGCTGATTACCGCCCTCGTGTGGAGTAATAGAGACGCTGCGGCCATTAGGTGCCATGTACTTTTGGTCTTTTTTTAACTTTAGAGGTAAAATATCCTTTAGCCCATACCGGACAACAGATGAATACATTATGCTTTTGAATTTAAAATACTAACTGATTGGCAGACAATCCATTTGTTAATACTGAACACAGGGTGACTTGATCAAACTACAAAGTCAATGTTATGCATGATAAAAGGTTTTCACCTCACACAACCAACCATCAAAATAGAAATCAACCCTATAACTAAACAACATACTAAACAAATATTTAAATGTTTACAACTATATTATCCTTTTTCAAACTGCATTTACCACACACCATTTGTTATTTGGGCTTTATGCAGAGGCGGCCTCCTAATGTATTATTGCTGACCTTTCAAACTCAACTGAGGCCCACTTCTGCCTCCACTATTCCTTTGGTGGATTACATCAGGGGTTAAAGCTCAATACACCCCTCCCCCCTAAAAAAAGATATTCTAGAAAAAGTAGCTTGTGTCCAATATGAATACTATTATATAGTATTTATATGTATATGAATATTATTTATATGAACATTGTAGTGCAAGCAGCTGGTATGTTTCTAGTTGGCAGTCCAATGTGTGTAGAGGTGTATTTCTTTTGCATATGTGATTTAATATATTTTTATTTTTTTTAAGAAATATAGTCAAGAGCAGTGGGAGGCAGTCATGCACTCAACTGTGCTTTGGGTGCCAGATTTAAGAACAATGTCTATTTTCCATCGAACAATAACTGCAGTAATTGGAAGATTATGTAAGAAGCAATAAATACTGGTAACATTTGTTTGATTGTGTTTAAACTTAGATACATGTTGGTTTACAAAACTGGTGCATTTGGTCCAAGTGTCTCTTTTGTAGTGCCCAATTATCAGTAACCTGCATAATAAATACAAGCTGAATACAGGAGACAAAAAGCAAAGAGAAATAAATTCAAAGCAAAAATACATTTTGAACCAATTTACTGTTTTAATGTTTTGTGCTCAACACGTTGAACAAATGATACCAATCAAACACTAAATTACATACCAGAGTTTTACAACAGTGGTATTATGATTATTCACAGCAGGTGGAAGGAGGAATGTTCAGGCATGTACAAACCATTAAATCCCTAAACACACAACTCTTTATTATGTGAGCAACAGTCAATGCTTTTCTACCCACTCAGTACAAGTTAAATTAAAGGCATTACAACGACACAAAAAAAAACCAAAAAAAAAAAAAACCCTTCATTGCTCATTTTAATTTCTTGAAAAATAAGTTATTATACAACATATTGACATGAACTAATGTACAAGGCCGTGCATCATTGCACAGCAGAAATAATAGACAGAAACTATGATTCATGGTTGGTCTCTATAATGTGCAAAACTGCCCAAGTGCTGGCATTTTAATTTTTTTTTTTTTTTTTTTTTTTTTTACATGGACATTTTCCTTATGAACAAAACATTACCAGCTCAGGCATGACTTAAGTGCCATCCAGTGAAGGTGGCAGTATTTTAGGTAGTAAACAATAAGAGACTGCAGCAAGCAGGAAACCAGGAGGTAGGCATGTCTGCAGAGAAGTGGTAGCAAATTTACAGCATGGCACAGAAGTGTTAAGTGTGGAATTAAAAGTAGTTGATAAGCAAGGGTGTTTGTAGATCTCAGCCTGACTTGAACAGAAGAATAGCCACTTGACCCAGGTAGAAGTAGATGAAATGCTTCGTCTCATGTGTCACGTAGCTGCCAAAGTTCCTCCCGACAATGCAGTGCCATGTGGGATTGTACTTCTTGTCAAATTCCTGCATGAATTACAGCATTTCATGGAGTTATTTGAGCAGACAGAACTACTAAAATATTCCTGAAAAATTCCTTTTAAAATATCGTTCACATTTACCTTTTTGACATAAGCAGCAATGTCTTTCTCGATGTTGTACTTTTCCATGGCTTGCATGGCACAGTCCACAGCATCCTGCTGCATTTCATCAGACATGTCTGCATTTTTAATCACTGCCTTCCTGTCAGACATGTTGGAAGTTTTACCTGCAGATGAGAAAATAAATTTAAGTTTCCTCTTGACACAGTTTATACTAGTGCCAGTTATGCAACCTATGAGACTTGTTCTGTTTCCAATTCCCCTGCATGCAGATTCTTAGCAGACACTGTCTAAGAACTTTGGCTGTAAAGAAATGTCTTTTTCACCAATCCTAATGTTGTGGTGAAATTATAAATAAGCAAAGAAAACTCTCTCCTCTTTTATAGATGTTTATTTCTGTTTCTCTTGCAGCAGATGGACAGCACTCTTGTGGCCATAAAATAGATGATGCATCCTGTCGACGCTGCAACTTTCATAGTAAGCTATTGAAGTGTTGACATGACAATACAGTTAGCATTACCGTAGTGCTAAGAAGGCATCAAATGGTAAAAATAAATGAATCATGAGAAACTCTTACATTAATTAAAAAGTCATTTAAAAGTGTGACGTGTGGAATCCCAAAATGCAGTTTGTCTTTTTCAAATCAGAAAAAAATGACAAGTGGCCGTAGAACTTATCACTGTACTCAATTATGGTCTTAAATTTGGCCCTAGGTTTTCTTTAAAACTGAATGCAGACCTATATAAGGAGTGCCGGAATAAAAAAAAAATCAAAATATTTAACCTCGAATTAATGACAGGTTGTGTTGATATTGTGAGCATGTGAATACAGTGGCCATCTTCCTCCATAGGCCTGCTCTGAAACAATGAGGATTTTAATTGTGTCACATATCTTTATAAAAGCATTGCTTTTTATCTTTCTGGTCTGTCAGCTGGTGACCTTGGTAACATTAGAGCATTTAGCAACTTTTTAATAGTGTTTTGTATAATTAATGCATTACAGATAGATTGCCTCTGTATTAGGTTTGACAGCAATACATATTATTAAGGGGATATTTTACTTAAGACTATATTGCAAATATTTTTCTTATGGCCAAAATATTCGTATGACGTTTGGCCAAGTGCATATTTCTTATGAATCCTTGTTTCTACAGTTTGATGCTTCTAAATAAAAGTAGCATCATTGACATAAGTGCTATGGTTTTACAGAGAAGTCGGAGCAGCCTTTACGCAGCATAAATGAAGGAGGACGCGGCAGCAAAGCAAACTCAGCTAACGTCAGATTTTAGCCAACAATTACAACCAATAAAAATAGGACAAATTGCCCCTTACCGTCACTGTAGAGTAATAAAGCTCAGACCAGAACTGCGTTTTAGACACAGTTGCCTAGCTTTGCTTCAATTAATGCACAGAGCGCGTGTGACTGTGCCCCGCCCCCTTGAATCAAACCTGTTCTATAATTGGTTGGAAAGACGCCTCCGCCCTGATGACTGCGTTTTTTACTCGCGGACAGTCGCTGCATTTTGTTTCCACCCAGAATGCACCATTTTCACCTCCCCATGCTCCCTGCAACCCTCCGCCCCTCTCGTTAGTGGGCGTGAGCACATTGTTTTAGGTGAACTGAAAATGTTGATCTTCATTTATTGCTACAGCATGAACGTAGAACTCCAACAAAAGACTAATATTAAAAAAAACCCTTCTCCCTCGTTACTGAATTAGCCTGTGTGGCAGGATGGCCAAAGATCATTTTAAATACAGGCCTCATCATGGCCCGAATAGCACATCCTATCATACCTGCTGGAAATTACTCTGGAACTGGTCAAGGCCTCTTTTATCAAACTGAACATGCCGAATGCTACCTTAGCAATTATATTTTCATGGACTTTTATTTGGTGACATCATCCTTCAAATAGTTTTCACCCTAGGTGACTCCAAGATATGCAGTACTATATAGTGTTGACCCTTTACAGCCTTCAACTGTGGTTCTCACACTAAGGTATGACTACCACTGGTGGTACTTGGATTCACTCTAGTGGTGCTTGGAGGAATCTGATTCCCATGGGGATTTGGTTAGTCACAGTTATGTATGGTTTCAGATAAGAATTTAATGCATCTGCAGATCAGTAGACCAACATTCTTAAGAAATTGTCTTAGCACAGCAGCGGCGTCTGTTCGGTTGTATTTCAGTGGACAATCTGCTCCTTTGCAGCCTAAGAATTGAGATATGGCTAATGTCCAGACAGCGTAACAGGATAGAGTGCAAGGTCAAATGTCCAGGAGTGGTTTGGAAATCGCATCACGTATAGACATGTAGTTACAGTGCTTTTTATTCAAGCAAACTTTTACATCTAAAAATGTTTTCTTTGTAGTTTCATTATTTCTATTTGCTTATCCATTTAATCTCTAAAGGTCTCCAGATTTCCATCATGTAACCATATTTTGATGGCATCATTACAACCCCAACTCCCCCTCATTAATTTTTTTAATGAAAAAAGACCATTGTAACTACACAACTACACGCAGGATCAACTGCTTGCCATCCTGTCAGCAAATGTCCTCCCCATAAAAACCATTGATCATCAGCAGACAAAGGAAATATTTCATGTGAATATGGAATTCTTACTGCATGTGCTGAGTGGTACAAGAAAAAAAACCCACACGTATTAAGAAGTATTATTGAGAATTTTATTAAAAGAGAATAAAGCTTTGAGATACTGAAGAATATACTTATGGAAATCAATCGGAATTCCTCCTCCTTTGGAAAAAAAAATGACTTGAAAGAAAGATACAAACCAGGTTAAAGTTACATTCCCAAACCACCCACCTCCCCCCCCCCACTGAAAATGGTGCCCACTATTTACCACTCTCCTCACGCGTGTTGATCCATTCTGCATTTCCCAGCCCTCCTCCTGGTTTTGATCCAAGTTATGCTCTTCTAATTGGATCCAAGTTTTGCTCTTCTAATTTGATCCGAGTTTTGCTCCTCTAATTATTAAAAAAAAAAAATCTCGAAAATAACATCACGTGGCTGCCAGTAACTGTTTCCTTAGGTCCCGCAGGAATTGAAAAAAGTAATTTGGAATATCGGAGAGCCAATTTTTGTTTAAAAATCTTGCTATGTCTCCAGTTTGATGGTTTTATGTGGACAGGGTCAGGGTTCGGGATCCTCTCCCAGCAAAATGCTCCCATGCTCCTGCTCCATGTATCCATCCCAAAGCCTAATCCTAATCCTGATCTGATCCTGAATCCTGATGCGGCTCCGGAATGGGGAGACAATGAGCCCAGTCCAAACCTTCAGAATACCAGCAGAACCAAAGAGAAGGAGGCAAGTTAGAATAACACCTTAAAATTATTTTTAATGTTAATTGATGCAACTACGAGGGGGATCGGGGGTTCTTAAACTAAAAAAACAAAAACTAGGGAGACCATTTGTGATCAATCCCGAAGCCATTATACACTAATTAGATGAGGAAAATCCTCATGATAAAAAATGGTTTACAGAACATTCAACAATGCACTTGGCTGCCAGGTGTATGTGAGAAAAAGAGCCTTATATGCAGGTTTCACAGTTTACAAGGCACAGCCATCATACCATTGGCGCCAAATATGACTCCTCCTCCTCCTCCTGTTTATCCTATTATGAACTGTTTCCTCTGTTCCCATCCTATCCTGTTCCTTTGAACTCTACAGAGAGACACACAAGAAGGTCAAAGGACAATAGTACGTGTTCCAAAGAAGTCAACTTTTACAGATGAGAACACTGAGCATATGATGGGGACAATCAGCATGAAAAAGTGAGAAGAGGGAACAATGGTTAGCAGTGTTTGAGTGAAAGGAAAAAAGGGGAGCATGACAGAGCAGCTGTTGCCATGTACACAAATCAGCTCCAGTTTGTGTACATCTGGTTGGCAAAAATGAAAAAAAAAAAAAAAACTAAAAAAAAACCCAAAACAAAGAATAAATGCAACATAAATTTGAGAAAAAAAAGAACGCACAACATAACAAACTGGTAACACACAATGATTTGTGGTTAGTATACAGGCTTTGTTAGGTGACGTGAGGGACATCAACCCCAGCTCCTAGATGCACCACCACTTTAGCTAAGGTCAGGTGAATCTAGGTGCGAGAGCGGGAGCGAGAACGCCGAGGGGAGTAACGTGGAGATGCCCTGCCACGGCGAGGGGAGAAGCTGCGAGATCCACTCTTGCTTCGACTCCTGCTCCGACTGCGACTACGGGAGCGGGACCGGCCGTAACTGGGACTGCGAGCACCATCCGTCTTCACATAGATGTAGGAGGTCTCTCCCTGAAAACACGTGCACACAAATAAAGAGTCATTTATTTCAAAGCGCAAGGAAAAACAAAACTTAATTGATGTTTTTAAATAAAATGTTTCTGAAGATTTAGGTCCTTTCCAAGTTTGCTGTTGTGATTCCTGTTCCTTGACTACAGAAGTAATGGTTAAATCACATTCTCATACCAGCAACATTGTTTTATTATTCGTAATACCTAAGGAAATACTCTTTTGTGTGTGCCAGTTGTGCCAATTTTAAATAATAAATGCTGTAAAACCCCTTTAAAATAAGATTGGACAAGCAAAGTTTTCATGGACTGATGTGTCAGGTTGGAAAGTTTGGATTTAGATGCCATCATCATGTCTGATTCCAATCTGACGCTATGTAATGGTTCAGGGATGAATTTCAACCAGTTGGTAACAAATCAAGGAACCGTGAATTTCATGCTGTTGTCGTCATGTCCTTTAAGAGAAAAACTTCAAAACTGCCCATCTACGTATGTTCATGGTGTAAATCAAAATGATCAAGATCACACTGCTGTAAACAACACCTTTGTTGTTGTCAACATTCCATATAGGATATGCAAAGCCAGAATTTGATGCATAACAGCAAAATGTAGCCAATTACACTTGACTATGGGCCTTTACTTACTTTCCAGTTATTTTTACCCTCAGTCCTGTTCCTGTTCTCCTGTTCTTCATTTGAGAAAATGTACAAAAAGTTCCTCATGGCAGTTCCAGGGCCATTCCGTAAAAGTTTAATTTTTGCTCTAACTCTTTACATACCTCATGAGAACGAAACTTGGTGTTGTCCAATTTACGGACAGCGTAGCTCATGTCTTCTTTGCGTACAAACTCCACTACCCCGGTGCCATCACGGTACACATCAGCATAACATACATCACCTGCCTCCCGCATGTGATCCTTTAGGTCCTGCCAGCTTCCACTGGGGGGAAGACCTGTTAAGAAATGGACGCATCAGTGTCTGTGAAGCTACGTTTAAAGTAAAGGTAGATCAGCTACAACATGCAAACAGAAAAACACTCACCTGACACAACAACCCTATACTCAGAACGTCGGGACGGAGGACCATACCGTCCCCTGGGGGGTCCCATAGCGCCTCCTCCGCCGCCGCCACCACCACCACCACCACCGCCGCCGCCACCACCACCGCCACCACCACCGCTGCCACCTCCGCCTCCCCTTCCCCCTCT